CAGCCCACCCTGTGACTACTGTGCCACCAGCATGCCTCCTTAGGTCTGTGCCATATCTTGAGGGAAATGCCTCTTTGTGGTTGCCCAAAGGGCACAGAAAAAGCCCTGCTCTCCAGAGACGAGCTATGGGAAGGGCAGAACAAGCCCTGGGTGCTGGCAGCCGGGATGGAGAGCGGCAGCCTAGGTTTTCACGGGGATATGAAGCGCAACCGACAAGCCCAGAGCAAACCTATCTGTTAGGTTTCTGGAGTGGGTTATGCCTCGGCTCTTTGCTTCCAGCGCTGGAAGAACTCACGCCCGATAACGTTTTGTAATTCAAGTGAGTTTTTATAAAGGAAAGGTTACAGGTTGTCCCATCTCAAAGGGTACATGCTATTTCTGGAAAGCGTGCCACGCCATGTCGAAGCTGTGCTGGAGTTCACAACTGGGCACGAAACCACATGGAAAGGCACACCAAAAGTGGGGCACCGGGGCACCCCTGAGTCCAAGAAGCCAAGAGCCCGATTGCTTGTGGGCCCCCCGAGTAAACCCTGAGGGGGCGTGCAGGCACATGCACACCCTGCACGCTGGAGGCCCACCCTGCAGCATGCCCCTGAGTGAGGGAAGAGCAAAAGAGCGTGCAGTGCTGTGCTTCCGGCCTTTATGAAGGTGTTGGTTGATCGCATTGGCTGAGTTTAGGCCCACCTGGGTGATGTTAGGGGCCCTGTGGCTTTAGGCTTAGGTTACATCTGCCCTAGGGGCTTAGTTTGCTCCTGCCCAGTTCTGGATCTTCCCAGAGGTGTTGAATAGGGTGCTTGATTTCCCTCCAACCCCATCACGTGGTCCTTTACAGGTACGGGGGGAACAACCCACTCCTTTTCCCCTAAACCAGCTGCCCAACATATCAGGCCCATGTAACCATTCCTCGTCACATACTTGCTTAAGCTCCTGCCCCACTTCCTTCAGTGAAATTAAGAAGGGAACTTAAACCCAAAATTATTCAAACAGCCTAGCTAAGCCCCAGGTAAAGGTGAGCTATCTTGTGGGTTCATGGAACTGCAAAATGACTGCCTGGGTGGATGTAAAGAGGAGTCTGGCCCCGTTTTCAATGTTTCACTGCTGATGGCTTTCAAGTTCACCCCTCCCTCTTCCCGTTGTGCCCCACATCTAGACAGGCTGATAAGAAAGCCTGGTGCCAGGGGAAGATTCAAACCACACAACCTGCTTCCCTTGTATAGACCCTCTCCCTGACCTGATCCCTTGACCATGATAAAAACCCAGCTAATGCCCTTCCCTCACTGGCTCTTCAAACCAGTCTTGACCTGTTTGGCAGGCCTCACTTGCTTTCCCAACATCCTCAATTAAATAAAAAACAGACCTTTTCCTGTATGGATCTGGTAAAAAAGTTGGGGAAGATTCTGATAGGATTCACCTGTGAGTCATTGTGAAGAGGAGTCCCTGGAGGCCATCCTGCTGGGTATAAAATGAGCCCTCTGAGAAGCTGGAGGTTGGATCTCATCACCAACAAGAGCCAGGAGAGCCCTGTGCAGTGACCCTCCAGAAGATGGCTATACCATCAGAGCATGGACAGAGGGGTAGACTAATTAACCTACAGAGCAAGTAAAGATAAGTGCTTTTGTAGAGGAGGCTGGCTTTGTAGAGTGAGGTGCCACTGGACACTTAGTTGGGGAAGCTGGGCTTGCTAATTCACAGCAGTGGAGCAGATTGCCTTTGGGTTGAGCTTTCCAGTGGAATGGCATGCCCCTTTGGGGAATCTACTGGCAGACCTAAAAGAACTTTGTGCCATTCCCTGATAAGTCTACCCTGAGCATTTCTTACTGGCATTACAACTTGTTGACTTCCTGCATAAACCCTTTAATTATGAATTTTGTCAGAGTTCTGTGTAGCCATTGCAATAGAGATTAGAACCTGGAGATCGAATGGGGAGTACTAGTGAAAACAGTACACAAATCATAAACATAATGAAATGGTTTCCACAAATTATATACAGAACTTGTATCTAGCAGGAATTATTACCTATATTTATACATCAGCTATAGCTAATGTTGAATGGTAAATTCTATGCCAGACAAAGACTAAGAAGACTGGCCATCAAGTACCTACCACCTTTGTATTTTTCACACATGACCAGGATGACTTTCATGGGTGCAGAGGCCCGAGGCAGGTGAGATGAGGCACATAAATGTTTGCAAATGCTAACCTTTGGTATGAAGGATTGGACTGCTCTCATTCATTAAGCAGGCACAGAACAAAATTGTCATTGAGGTCCTGGAAGTGGATGCCCACAGTGGGCAAGCACACCAGTATCTTGGGGTAGTGTACAAGGGTGAGTTAAAAAGTATTGCTAGAAAATCATAAACTGGCTCACTCTCTCTGCTATCAAATCAATTCTGACTCTGGTGGCCCTATAGGACAGAACAGAACTGCCTTTTTAGGTTTCTGACACTGTAAATCTCTGGGAGCAGAAAGCTCCATCTTTC